CAACACCCAATAGTCTAGGGGGTGCAGCTCTGCTCCAACTTTGGCAGAGGCGTCTCCTTGCTCCCCCTTGTCTCCCACATGGAAGAATTGGCCCGCGGTGCGCTCCTTCTTCTTCTCCGCACCGCCGTTGCCCTTCGGGTTGTTGTCGGACGAATCAGCGACCATGTTGGCGCCGTTTTTCTGGTTCCTCCGCGCGCCGCCATCCTGGTGACGATTCTGGGGGGTCCATCCATCGGGTTTCTTATAGCACAAAAACCAGGGGTGCCCTTCCTTCTCACAATACCAGCAACTCCCTTTCATTTTGCCACCAGCACCCGACTTGCCCCCACGTCCAGATTTCGCACCGCGACCCCAACCGGTACCTCCTTGTTGGTCGTTGGAGTCGTCGTCTTTCTTTGCACCGCGTCCAGCACCACCGAAGCCACGTCCTCTGCCACGTCGGCTCCCTTGCATCCCGTAGCCGCTGCTGCCATCGTCTCCACCCCTCAGTTGGCGGCGACGGAAGTCCTCCTCCAGAATCTTCGTCCGCACCCACTCGAGCGTCCACAAGCTCTGGTTCTGCGGCAGGCTCAATCCGCTCGTAAATTGAAGCCACGATTCTGGCAGCAGCGAGAGCATCTTCAAGCACTTGGTCTGCTCCGGGTAGGTGATTCCCGCGGTCGCCAACTTCGCGTAGAGGTCGCGCATCTTGTCCAGGACTGGTTGCACCGGCTCTCCCTCGCTCAGGCGCAACGCGGACAGCTCCCTCTCCAGCATCAACGTTGCGACAACGGAGGTAGAGGCGTGCAGCTCCTTCAACACGGTCCACGCCTTCGGACCGCATTCAACCTCCGGCAGCAGGTGCATGACGTGGTGACGCTGGTTCAGCTCCAAACTCTGCGACATCAAATAGTAGCCAGCCGAGGAGCGCTCGTCCCAATCTTCCTGCAGCGTGGGGTCACTCGGTCTAGGCTCCTCCCCAATCATTAGTTTCAGCAAACCGATCTGACGGAAATATAATTGCATTTTCCAGGCCCAATCATCATAGCCCTCACCATTGAACTTCTCGACGGTGAAATTCTTCAGCACCTCCTTGACAAGCGAGCCCTGGTTTGTTCGCGCTCCCCTTGGCGCTGAAAGACCAGAATCTTGGCTGCCGCTACGATCTTGGGCTGAAGATTCACCAGCTCCCGCCGAGGTGTTGCCCGCCATAGCTACCTATAACGAGGATCACTATAACGCAGCTCTGATACCAGCTTGTTGGTGTAAGGGCCTAATAAACTCAAGCTATTAGGACTTAATCAAACTTAAAACCTCTCCTCGGGGTCACCTCCAAGGGTCCCTGGGTGCCTAGTACAAGACCAGCCCCTATCCTCGGGTCCGAGTTTGTAGAGAGAGGGATCAAGAAGGACTTAGTCAAAACAGCAAGAGTACCTTGAACGTCGCGCAGCGTGCCGTGCAGACCGTCGATCGGATTAAGCTGAGAATTCGCTATATCGAAGCTCGCTCCAAGAGCTTTAAAATGAGCCAAGTTGCCTCGCGAAAAGTTCTGCCATTATGAAGTTATGGCTCAGACGGTGTTTGCCTAGCGTTGGAGTGCTAGCATACTAGCGTTGACTCGGGTAGCATTCCGCCGTCGAATAGCGCAGAAACGAAATTCCAGCGAGGAAGGAATTCGCTTGAATCAATTTGACTATGTTCAGGTACAAACAGAGAAGGATTAAATAGTTCTAGCTAGCAAGGACCTTGGGAATCAACCTGGGAACAACGAGGGATGATCCCAAATAATTCCAAGCAACAGAACCAACCTGGCTGGACAAAATAGCAGGTGGTAGGTTGGTAAACAACCTCTGGTTCTGTTTTTCCAACCTGGGAAAACAACAACCAGGTTCAGGTTCTAAAAACAGAACCTGTTTTGTCTTTGCCCAACCAGCCAAATGCTGGTTCCGCTGGTTTCCCCTGGCCTTGTAGCATGCAGATACAGACAAACAACATCCAACCTTCACCTAAATTGTACCCCTATAGTGCCTTCCCTGCTACACTATAGTTAACCAAACAAAACAGTACAATTTTGAGTTGGATAGAACTGAATCTGCGCAATCAACTCAACCGAACTGCAAAGCTTCCATCTTGGGTTCCTTTGCGAGCACGTCCTTTCTGCTTGCACTGTTCATAGCGCGTACAATGTTGTGCCGAAGCGCACATTGCGCGAGTACCTGCAAATGCATCAAGCGAAAAATGCGAAAGCAAACAAACACACGAACACACCATTCACACGCAAATGCATTCGCACACGCATACTCGTACAAACAGACGGCAGGATGTCGTGCAATGTGCATTTGCACCCAACAATAGGGACAAGTGGCTGGCTTCTAGGGATGCTGAGTACCAGAGTCTGCTGGAGAATAGGACATGGGATCTGGTGGTGCTGCCTGATGGGAAGAAAGCGATACAATGCAAGTGGGTGCTGAGGATCAAGACCGATGACAAGGGGCAGGTCACCATCTACAAGAGTAGGCTGGTGGCGAAGGGGTTTATGCAGAAGGAGAAGCAGGACTTCAACGAAATCTTTGCTCCCACTGCCAAACCCCCTACCCTCCGTGTCTTGTTGGCAGATGCAGCTGTTAGTGGGAAATTCATCATTCATATGGATATTTCAACGGCATTCCTGAATGGGATTTTAGAGGAGGATGTGTACATGACGCAGCCGCCTGGGTATAAGGATGGTACGGGCAGGGTGTGCAAGCTCAACAAGTCCATCTACGGCTTGAAGCAGGCGCCACGCTGCTGGTACCAGAAGTTGGCAGCTGTTTTAGAGGAGATGGGATTCAGGACCAGCAGCTGTGATGAGAGCCTCTTTCTCAAGGGCGAGGGGGAGAAGCTGGTGCTGTTTCTGGTCTATGTGGACGACATTCTTCTCTTCAGCAGCAGCATGAAGGAGATCCAGAAAGTGCAGCAGCAACTGATGAAAAACTTCAAGTGCAAGAACCTTGGGGAGGTAAAGTACTACCTCGGGATGCACGTGGAGAGGGATCCAGATCACAGGTGGTTGAAGCTGCACCAGGAGAAGTTCATCAAGGAGCTGGGGGAGAAGTATGGGATTGAGAATGAGCGCAAGGTTGCAACTCCCCTGCCAGCAGAATTCAAGCTTGTGAAGGCTGCAGAGGATGAAGGGGTTGAAGCTGAGGAGCAGCAACAATTTCAGTCCTTGGTGGGCAGCCTCTTGTACGCAGCAGTTCACACGAGGCCCGACATCTCTTTCTCGGTTGGGCAGCTGGCTAGGGTGGTGCAGAATCCATCAGAGGAGCAGGTGGATGCAGCTGAGTGTGTGGTGAAGTACCTGAACTCTCACCCAAGCATTGGAGTTCAATACTCCGCATCTGCACAGGTGAAGCAGAAAGGGGTGGAGGTGCTGAAAGAGAAGGGGGAGAGGCTTGGAGAAGGCAAGCTATTTCTCACTTGCTTTACCGATGCTACATGGGCTTCTGAGAAGGAGGATTCCTCATCTGTGGGAGGATACATCTGCGTAGTTGGGGGAGGACCTGTTAGTTGGAGGTCCAAGAAGCAGACGGAGACGGCACTCTCTTCCGTAGAATCAGAGTACATGGCGATGTTCCATGGGGTGAAGGAGGTGATTTGGCTGAGGAGGCTGTTAGAGGAGATTGGCCAGGAGCAGAAAGTTGCTACGCCGCTGTTTTGTGATAGCAAGGGGGCTCTTGGGATGGCCAGGAACGCTGTGCTTCATGGGCTGAACAAGCACATGCGTATCAAGTGGCACTGGCTGCGTAAGGAGGTGAAGAGGGGGACGGTGAATCCAATCTACATCAAGACTCACCAGCAGCCAGCAGACTTTCTCACCAAGAGGCTTGCGGATGAGCCTCATTGGCGTTGTGTGCGCATGAGTGGAATGAGCATGAACTAGCATGGAATGACGGGGATGCAGCCGGCAGGCTGAGGGGGAGTGTGTTGGGTGCAAATGCACATTGCACGACATCCTGCCGTCTGTTTGTACGAGTATGCGTGTGCGAATGCATTTGCGTGTGAATGGTGTGTTCGTGTGTTTGTTTGCTTTCGCATTTTTCGCTTGATGCATTTGCAGGTACTCGCGCAATGTGCGCTTTGGCACAACATTGTATGCGCTATGAACAGTGCAAGCAGAAAGGACGAGCTCGCAAAGGAACCCAAGATGGAAGCTTTGCAGTTCGGTTGAGTTGATTGCGCAGATTCAGTTCTATCCAACTCGAAATTGTACTGTTTTGTTTGGTTAACTATAGTGTAGCAGGGAAGGCACTATAGGGGTACAATTTAGGTGAAGGTTGGATGTTGTTTGTCTGTATCTGCATGCTACAAGGCCAGGGGAAACCAGCGGAACCAGCATTTGGCTGGTTGGGCAAAGACAAAACAGGTTCTGTTTTTAGAACCTGAACCTGGTTGTTGTTTTCCCAGGTTGGAAAAACAGAACCAGAGGTTGTTTACCAACCTACCACCTGCTATTTTGTCCAGCCAGGTTGGTTCTGTTGCTTGGAATTATTTGGGATCATCCCTGGTTGTTCCCAGGTTGATTCCCAAGGTCCTTGCTAGCTAGAACTATTTAATCCTTCTCTGTTTGTACCTGAATATAGTCAAATTGATTCATGTGAATTCCTTCCTCGCTGGAATTTCGTTTCTACGCGGTTCGTTGGCGGAATGCTACCCGAGTCAACGCTAGTACGCTAGCACTCTAATGCTAGGCAAACACCGTCTGAGCCATAACTTCGTAATGGCAGAACTTTTCGCGAGGCAACTTGGCTCATTTTAAATCTCTTGGAGCGAGCTTCGATATAGCGAATTCTCAGCTTAATCCGATCGACGGTCTGCACGGCACGCTGCGCGACGTTCAAGGTACTCTTGCTGTTTTGACTAAGTCCTTCTTGATCCCTCTCTCTACAAACTCGGACCCGAGGATAGGGGCTGGTCTTGTACCAGGCACCCAGGGACCCTTGGAGGTGACCCCGAGGAGAGGTTTTAAGTTTGATTAAATCCTAATAGCTTGAGTTTATTAGGCCCTTACACCAACAGCAACAGGTGTGGCAGCCGCACGAAGCCGCAAGTGTGGCTGCAGCAGTTGTGGCAGCAGCAATTGTGGCAGCATCAGTTGTGGCAGCATCAGTTGTGGCAGCAGCAGTTGTGGCAGCAGCAGTTGTGGCAGCAGCAGTTGTGGCAGCAGCAGTTGCGGCAACAGCAGTTGTGGCAGCAGCAGTTGTGGCAGCAGCAAGCGTGGCAGCAGCAAGCGTGGCATCAACAGTGGCACGATGGGCGGCGAGCATCCGCAACAGAGAGCTGCTCATGGTAGCCGGCACTCCCTCTGATGGCCGGGTATGGTTGGCAGAGAGAGGGAAAAAAAAAACAATAGAACATATAAATTGCCTTCTCTCACCACCAACACCCTGTCTCACCGGCAGCACCTGCTCTCACCGGCAGCACCTGCTCTCACCGGCAGCACCTGCTCTCACCGGCAGCGAGGCGGGAGCGCGAGGCGATCTCGGCGAGGACGAGCTGCATGTTGGACTCGGCGGTGGCCACCAGCAGCACCAGCTCGCGCTCCTGCCTCGCCCGCTCAGCGCCCTCGCCCACATGCGGCGTTCCTTCGCCACCCGCTGCAGCCCGCCTCCCCTCGGGCTGCCTCCCCTCGGCCCGCCTCCCCTCGGCCCGCCTCCCCTCGGGCTGCCTCCCCTCGGGCTGCCTCCCCTCGGCCCACCTCCCCTCGGCCCGCCTCCCCTCGGCCCGCCTCCCCTCGGGCTGCCTCCCCTCGGGCTGCCTCCCCTCGGGCTGCCTCCCCTCGGGCTGCCTCCCCTCGGGCTGCCTCCCCTCGGGCTGCCTCCCCTCGGGCTGCCTCCCCTCGGGCTGCCTCCCCTCGGGCTGCCTCCCCTCGGGCTGCCTCCCCTCGGGCTGCCTCCCCTCGGGCTGCCTCCCCTCGGGCTGCCTCCCCTCGGGCTGCCTCCCCTCGGGCTGCCTCCCCTCGGGCTGCCTCCCCTCGGGCTGCCTCCCCTCGGGCTGCCTCCCCTCGGGCTGCCTCCCCTCGGGCTGCCTCCCCTCGGGCTGCCTCCCCTCGGGCTGCCTCCCCTCGGGCTGCCTCCCCTCGGGCTGCCTCCGCGCGGGCTGCCTCCCCTCGGGCTCCTGGCGCGGGGACCTGCCAGATGGTAGGGCACGCGGCAGAGAAGCAAAGGTGGTGACATCGCGAGTGGTGACGCCGCGAGTGGTGATTCCGAGGGACGCTCTTACTCGGAGGCAACGCAAGAGCCACGTTGACATGACGACAGGCGCTGTGATGCGGCTGACGCTGACGGCTGGCAGGCGCCTCGACGGCCATCCGACGTGGCGAGGCAGCAGCGAGTGGAGCAATACGTTGTAGCTGTGGGATCGCGCTACGATGGCAACACGGTGGGCGGGGGTGGCGCGCGTGGCTCGGAGCGGAGTGACGGTGAGTCGAGAGTGCGTGGTAACATAGAATTTGTACCCGAATGTGTCTTGACGTGCGGCAGCGGTTGACAATGTCGACAATTCAACCGTCTAACAGTTCATTCTCTAGACGGCGAGGTCGCGTCCCGCATGGCGCACGACGCGACGCGGGGGTGGACGGCGACGAGCTACCGCCGCGGGGTACCGCCGCACAGCAATTCGACTAAAGCGCTGGCGACGCATGCTCGCAATGCGAGGGGGAATGCTTCTCTCGTGGAGACAAAGGAAAACGGAAGCGATGGGCCTCACCTCCTCGGGCGGTCGCGTCCGCCATGATTCATGATGATCCAAGGCGAAGGCGAACCTCACGTCAAGGAAGAAACTCGCTCTGCTCCGCCCCACACGGCTGACGCGCTTCTGCCCGTTCCACGTCCGACTTACGGTGCTGTTAATTCTTTTACACTCGAAATTATTAATGCCACGGCAGACTTGTACAGTATCCGAGAGGCCGCGGCGAAACCGATTAGCTCGCTACGAAGCAAAAAGTGCTAAACGCGAAGCGCACGCGAGCGAGTGAGAGCAGGTTTAGTAACTGGGAAGTACGATAGCCGACTGTGATGAATACCAACATTGGACGCGGTAAAAGTGGGAAATCGATCGCCACAGGATCGTCTACTTTTATCGCGTTCTTATTTTTTGCGACGAGTGGAACGGTCAGATGGGAGTCTGTCGCCTTGACTAGACTTGGTTAGGGGTAAACACGTTGCTGTACCACGTCAGCAAACTCTTGCGAAAAGGCTTGGGTGAGCCGCGGGATGTGATGGGTCTGCGCGGGAAGCGGGGAAATGGTGGGATTGTGGGAGAAGCGAGGCGAGGTGATGCGCTCCACCCCGCAAAGCTGCCAGAGTGTTGGCGCGAAAGGGATCCGAGCCGACTGGTTGGACGACTCGCTGTTGTCGTCACGGCGGGCTGCTCTCCTCCAGGTGATTCGTTAGGGCGCGTGTCTTTTGGTTTTTACATGCAAATCTCGAATTTTTTGTTGAACTGTAGTCATATGAACCTAGCTCGAGCTAGGCTCGAGTTTTCACCAACTGCAAACCGAGCCGCGGTTCCACCCCTCCCGAAAATCACGCGACAAACAAAAGTTCAACTATCGAAGTTGAACTTTTGCAGCCCAGCCGAGCCGCGACCTACGCTTGTAGGTTACCCGGTTTGGGCTCTTGACATCGCGCCACCGGGACTCGCGCTGACGAGCACCCTCGTGCGCACGATGCTAGCTGCGAGCGTCGCAGACTTCGCATCGTCGCTGTCAGTGATGAGGTGGACACACGCTCGCACATTCGTGCCAACCTGTTTGTTGATGAGGGTTCAACTTGGGGGCTCAACATTTTCCGATGCCGGAAGTGTACGTGGACACACGACGTCCTGGCGAATGTTTTGACGAAATTAACGAATAGAGTAACCAGCAAAAGTTCAACCGAAAATCCGAACATCTACACCAAAAGACACGCGGCCTTAGTGGAGTTTGAACAGTGCGCCTCTGAACGTTGCTCAAACGAAAAACGAAACCGTTGGCGAGGGGGTTGGCGAGATGTTGAAACCAGAACATTCGCGATGGGTGAGTTGAGTTGAGTTGTGTCGTGACAAGGAGAGAATGACTCCAGTGGCCAAAACGGTGATTCACCATCCCTCGCGTGGCCACGAATGACTCGAGTGGCCACCAAATTTGGTGATAATGACTCGAGTGGCCACGCCAGGGGATTCTTGCTGGCTTTTATTTTCACGGCGCATTACCCTAAGGTGATAAAAAAATAAACCCCATGGCTTACGGCATGCCATTCGGGAGCCTCAACCCTAAAATTTTAGGGTTGAGGCTCCCTCGGATGGCATGCCTTCCGAGTGGGTTTTAGTTTTTTTTTTGCCCGCGGTCACTAATGTGTTCGCGCATTTATGCCCCCGCAGAGCAGTTTATGATCGCTGATATTTTTACCGCGCGCTCATTGGTCGGGCATTGGGCCGAAAATGACCGTGCAACTACTGTTGGTCGTGCATTTTTTACGGTTTTGTGTACAGTGTGTGGGCGAAATTTTCGGGTGCGGAACAGAACGGAACAGTATCTAAGGATACCACTCGCACGAATGGGGAATTTCGTGGCTACAAAGCCCCGTAGGGTAATGCGCTAAAGAGAAAAAAGCCAGCAAGAATCCCCTGGCGTGGCCACTCGAGTCATTATCACCAAATTTGGTGGCCACTCGAGTCATTCGTGGCCACGCGAGGGATGGTGAATCACCTTATTGGCCACTGGAGTCATTCTCTCCGTGACAAGGGACAGGAGCGAAGCCCACAGGGTCGAGAGAATAAGGAACTGTTAGGTGTGTGCCTAGAGCGAACCCACAGCTAGCTGCGACGGGTATAGTATAACTAAACATTTTACATCGGAGAACAGCCAACCTCCGAAATCAACTTGATCGGAAGTTGGGATGTACTTGTGTGTTATCGCGGCTGCAGGTTGAGTTGAAGGACGATTGATAGTGTATTGCTGGTCAGCCGCGATTGGCCGAAACTCGAAAAGCTGCCCAATTCAATTTCGTGTCATGCACCCTGTCAACCTGTTTGGCATATGCGCACAGGTCGAGGGGTGAATGGCAGGTCCGGTGCAGCCTGGCTGGAAGAAAACAGGTTCGGCAGCCTTGTGCTTCGCGTAGAGGTTGGTGCGTTATTTCCCACTAGTCTGGAGCGTTTGAGAAGCTTTGATAAAAACTGGATTTAGTGTTTGTAACAGAAATTGTAGTCACACTTATAAAAACTCTTACGTTGGACGCTATCATGAATGCTAAATTCAAAAGCCAATCCTTTTCAACCCTTCAGTAGATTTTTTTTTTGTATGGTGTTGCAGAGATTACATGATTATGGGATCTAATTGTCTAGTCATGATAAATCATCGATGCTTATCTTACTGTATGTGACGGTAAATACCAACATAGTTGTAAGTTTAGGACGGGTGCGTTTACAACAAAACATGGAATAGATATGGTCGTTCTCAAAAGGTTAGCACTTCTGTGTATATATATCTGACTATAGGTTGACGTAGTTAATTGTACTATTCTGTTGGTTTCCTTAGTACATGTTTATAAACCAGGAGTTAATATAGAGGCAGTAACAGGTAAGCAGTACATAATCATTATCCAACTATAGTGTGTGCCCAACCTTGTTTACATCCCACGTGTTGTAACAGCAGTGGTTCTTATCTGGATTCATGATCCATACCAGTCGCAGTCGATCCACGCTGATTGTTTGGACTGGACAGATTCATCCTCTGTTCCAAGTTTGTCGGAGGTTCTGGCGTGGTGGCCTTTCATTGGTGATCTACCGTTGGAAGAAATTGGGTGAACGAGGTTGTTCGGTCCAGAGCACTGAAGCGTCGGGGCTCGTCGCATGACGATCTGGCATTGGATGAAATTAGCAACCACCCTTTCGTTCAGTCCAACCAAACACCTCCCTCTTGAACGCGCCGCGAAAGCAAGGCGCATGCTCGCCTGTCCATGCAAATCTCACAAATACACTCGAATCCATCACAAGTGTTCATGTAACTTCGACCATTCAATTTTCTCAGGAATCTTCGACTTTCACTGCTCGACACCACATTTTTCCCTTCCAGTCTCTATCCAATCTCCTACTCTCCCGTTTCACCGTTCCACCACCTCCTAAACGTCCGCCATCCCTCTTGCTTCCACCTCCGCGCGTTCCTACTCGTCCGCGACCTGGAGTTCCAGCTTCTCGGGAGCTCGCCATTACGTCTCCTCGCCTAAAGCGCCGTCAGATTTCCCGCCGATTCCGCCATCCCACGTCCTCGCCTTGGCGCCATCTCACCTCCTCGCCTTCGCGCCATCTCACCTCCTCCCCACTCCGTCATCTCACCCCACCTCCTCCCCTTTCCCCCATTCCACCTCCTCCCCTTTCCGCCATCCCACCTCCTCCCCATTCCGCCATCCCACCTCGTCGCCTTTCCACCATCCCACCTCCTCCCCTTTCCGCCATCCCACCTCCTCCCTTTTCCGCCATCCCACCTCGTCGCCTTTCCACCATCCCACCTCCTCCCCTTTCCGCCATCCCACCTCCTCCCTTTTCCGCCATCCCACCTCCTCGCCTTTCCGCTCATTCCATTCCCATTTTTCCCATTTCGTCTCCCCCCGCTCATCCCATTCCCCCCATCCGCTTCCCCTCATCCCATTCATCCCATCTCTCCCCCGCTCATCCCATTCCCCCCATCCGTTTCCTCCCATCCCATTCATCCCATCTCTCCCCCGCTCATCCCATTCCCCCCATCCGCTTCCTCCCATACCATTCATCCCATCCCCCCCAGCTCATCCCTTTACCCCCATTCCGTCCTCCCATCCCATTCATCCCATCTTCCCCCGCTCATCCCTTTTCCCCCATCCGTATCCTCCCCATCCCATTCATCCCATTCCCCCCATCCGCTTCCTCTCATCCCATTCATCCCATCTTTTCCCCGCTCATCCCATTCCCCCCATCCGTTTCCTCCCATCCCATTCATCCCATCTCTCCCCCGCTCATCCCATTCCCCCCATCCGCTTTCTCCCATACCATTCATCCCATCCCCCCCCGCTCATCCCTTTACCCCCATTCCGTCCTCCCATCCCATTCATCCCATCTCCCCCCGCTCATCCCTTTTCCCCCATCCGTATCCTCCCCGTCCCATTCATCCCATTTCCCCCATCCGCTTCTTCTCATCCCATTCATCCCATCTCTCCCCCGCTCATCCCATTCCCCCCATCCGTTTCCTCCCATCCCATTCATCCCATCTCTCCCCCGCTCATCCCATTCCCCCCATCCGTTTCCTCCCATCCCATTCATCCCATCTCTCCCCCGCTCATCCCATTCCCCCCATCCGTTTCCTCCCATCCCATTCATCCCATCTCTCCCCCGCTCATCCCATTCCCCCCATCCGTTTCCTCCCATCCCATTCATCCCATCTTCCACCGCTCATCCCTTTTCCCCCATTCCGTCCTCCCATCCCATTCATCCCATCCGTTTCCTCCCATCCCATTCATCCCATCTCTCCCCCGCTCATCCCATTCCCCCCATCCGTTTCCTCCCATCCCATTCATCCCATCTCTCTCCCGCTCATCCCATTCCCCCCATCCGTTTCCTCCCATCCCATTCATCCCATCTCTCCCCCGCTCATCCCATTCCCCCCATCCGTTTCCTCCCATCCCATTCATCCCATCTTCCCCCGCTCATCCCTTTTCCCCCATTCCGTCCTCCCATCCCATTCATCCCATGTCCCCCCGCTCATCCCATTTCCTCCATCCGTTTCCTCCCATCCCAAGCATCCCATCCTCCCCCGCTCATCCCATTCATCCCATCTCCCCCCGCCCTTCCCATTCCCCCATCTGCTTCTGCTCATCCCATTCATCCCATCTCTCCCCGCCCATCCCATTCTCCCATCCGCTTCTGCTCATCCCATTCACTCCTCTTCCCCACGCCCATCCCATTCCCATCCCATCACACCTTCCTCCTCCCAGCCCGCCCTCACCTTCCTCCTCCCAGCCCGCCTTCACCCTCCTCCTCCCAGCCCGCCCTCACCTTCCTCCTCCCAGCCCGCCCTCACCCTCCTCCTCCCAGCCCGCCCTCACCCTCCTCCTCCCAGCCCGCCCTCACCTTCCTCCTCCCAGCCCTCCCTCACCTTCCTCCTCCCAGCCCGCCCTCACCTTCCTCCTCCCAGCCCGCCCTCACCTTCCTCCTCCCAGCCCGCCCTCACCCTCCTCCTCCCAGCCCGCCTTCACCCTCCTCCTCCCAGCCCGCCCTCACCTTCCTCCTCCCAGCCCGCCCTCACCCTCCTCCTCCCAGCCCGCCCTCACCCTCCTCCTCCCAGCCCGCCCTCACCTTCCTCCTCCCAGCCCGCCCTCACCTTCCTCCTCCCAGCCCGCCCTCACCCTCCTCCTCCCAGCGACCCCTCCCATCACATTCATCGCCGTGAACATCATCGTAGCCGTCAGTAACTATACGACGGTGACTGTAGTATCAATTGGCCTCCATTGTACACCATGCTGTTGTAGTACGTCTTCAATGTAAATGCTATGTGATTACTCGGTTCACTTGATCATCCAGCAATGGACGGTAGAAAACGCCTTAGAATCACGTGCAGCGATCCTGACTGCATTGTAACATTTGCAACACAAGCAGAGCGCACAAACCATGTCCGTGGTAGTAGACATGAGTATGCTCCTACCACCACACACAATACGCCTAGGCCTTCAGCTCCATGCCCTGGTACATCCTCAGAAGATGCGACACCGTCCTTCACCGTCCATGTCCTCAGTGCCCCGATGCCATGCGAGGAATTACCGCGCCACGACTATGCAAGTAATGATGCGGAACCATACACCGCCATAGATCGTCGCTTTTGGAGATTCTGTAAGACTGGAAACGGTGGGAGCAGCCTCTCGAGAGAGTCGATCAAGGAGTTATTGACAACATTCCATGATGCAGGAGCGCAACTCACACTGAAGACCGTCTCAGATGTGGACAAGCTAGAGGAATCTCTCACGCAACGTGTGGTACTACAACCGTTTCAACGGCTTGACCTTACTGACAAAAGCAAGGACAAGACGGAGGTGATTTTCTGGTGGCGTCCAACGTGGGCATGCGTGGTGGACATGTACACTAATCCTGCAAATGCTGAGGGATTCATCATTGCACCGGAGCTAGTAGATTCGGAAGAGACACCTCATCGATACACCAATCCATCCACGGGCACGTTTTGGAGAGAGGCAGTTGAGGATCTTCCCGAGGGAGCTTCTATAGCAGCTGTGATCTTATACTCGGATGAAACTGAGCTTGCAAAGGACGGTGGAGCTTCAGGACATCCAGTGTATATCGCCCTTGGGAACACATCGTCAAAAAACAGGTGGAAGTCTCATGGCAGGATGTGTAACAAAAGTACAAATCATTCAGTAATAGCAACAGGAGGCATATGTCGAATTCCTTGTTTACCAGCACTCGTTACATGCACGCCCTATTCGCGAATAGCACCCCCATTTTGGGGTTTTTGTTTCCCTTTAATGTTTTCGGATTTATAGTTAAAGTTTGAGTGAGTGTAAGGAATTACAATTCCTTACTGTACTCGCATTTTAGCGAGTACAATCCGAACACCACGCGTCAGCCTGGTTCGGCCTACTTTTCCGCCCCGAACCACTTCCGAGTCGCCACCGCTCCAATCGCAACACTTCCCGATCCATCCTAGCCCGACCCCTTCGCCTAGCTAGGGTTCCCCTTATAAAACCTCGTCACTTTCCTTGTATCGTCATTCAGTAGTTCATTCATTCTCGTTATTCGTTTTACTGCGCACTCTGCAAGTTCATTCATAACACCTGGTATCAGAGCTACTTTCCTAGCCTACCCCGCTTTTTAGAGTGTAATACCCCTCGGGGGGGGGACGAGGAAGGATGTCTTGGGGTCCAGGAGTTGCGTAGGCCGGCCAAGAGAACTAGTTAGTTGCTCTTCGCGGCGATGTTTTTACGGGCACTCCTTGGGCACCGCCAGATCCTTAGCTCGAACGGTCGCGATCGACCGTGACCTCCCCCCCCCCCCGGGCAACGGACAGCTGTAGCTGTCGCGACATTGAACGTGAGTTTTTTCCGCTGCGTCGCGACGATTTCGGAGTTATTTTCGTGTGGCAGCTGGCGTTAGCGGACCTGCGTCGACGGCTGCACGAAGATTTCGGAGTCGTCGTCTTGTGCGGCAGTTGACGTGGGTCGTCGTCAACTTGCGCGCGACATTTTCGGAGTGTTGCACCTGTTGACAACGGACATGCAGCACTGTGGGCGACAATTTCAGAACTGTTGAAGAAAAAACTGTCAGAATATTATGCTCTAGCCTGCAGTGGGGTACTCTATAGCGAGTACAACCCAATTAGGGTTTCCTATATGTATGCCAACTGCTGCTAGTGCAAACCCTCCTTTCTTCATTCTTACTTTCTACAGCTAGTTCTGACATGCTATCAGAGCAGGTCGACCCTCCTGGGTCGATCCTGTGGGTGGGCCCACCACCTAAGCCTTCCGCTGCTACTGCTACTGCTACTGCTACTCTGTGTGTCGCACGCCTCGTGTTGGGTGCAAATGCACATTGCACGACATCCTGCCGTCTGTTTGTACGAGTATGCGTGTGCGAATGCATTTGCGTGTGAATTGTGTGTTCGTGTGTTTGTTTGCTTTCGCATTTTTCGCTTGATGCATTTGCAGGTACTCGCGCAATGTGCGCTTTGGCACAACATTGTATGCGCTATGAACAGTGCAAGCAGGAAGGACGAGCTCGCAAAGGAACCCAAGATGGAAGCTTTGCAGTTCGGTTGAGTTGATTGCGCAGATTCAGTTCTATCCAACTCGGAATTGTACTGTTTTGTTTGGTTAACTATAGTGTAGCAGGGAAGGCACTATAGGGGTACAATTTAGGTGAAGGTTGGATGTTGTTTGTCTGTATCTGCATGCTACAAGGCCAGGGGAAACCAGCGGAACCAGCATTTGGCTGGTTGGGCAAAGACAAAACAGGTTCTGTTTTTAGAACCTGAACCTGGTTGTTGTTTTCCCAGGTTGGAAAAACAGAACCAGAGGTTGTTTACCAACCTACCACCTGCTATTTTGTCCAGCCAGGTTGGTTCTGTTGCTTGGAATTATTTGGGATCATCCCTGGTTGTTCCCAGGTTGATTCCCAAGGTCCTTGCTAGCTAGAACTATTTAATCATTCTCTGTTTGTACCTGAATATAGTCAATTGATTCATGCGAATTCCTTCCTCGCTGGAATTTCGTTTCTGCGCTATTCGACGGCGGAATGCTACCCGAGTCAACGCTAGTATGCTAGCACTCCAACGCTAGGCAAACGCTGTCCGAGCCATAACTTAGTAATGGCAGAACTTTTCGCGAGGCAACTTGGCTCATTTTAAAGCTCTTGGAGCGAGCTTCGATATAGCGAATTCTCAGCTTAATCCGACTGACGGTCTGCACGTCACGCTGCGCGACGTTCAAGGTACTCTTGCTGTTTTGACTAAGTCCTTCTTGATCCCTCTCTTTACAAACTCGGACCCGAGGATAGGGGCTGGTCTTGTACCAGGCACCCAGGGACCCTTGGAGGTGACCCCGAGGAGAGGTTTTAAGTTTGATTAAGTCCTAATAGCTTGAGTTTATTAGGCCCTTACACCAACACCTCGTGGCGTGCGACGGATTTTTCATCCCGCCGTGCGCCCCGAGGTGTGCGGCGGTTTTCTGCCCGCCGTGCGCCCCGAGGCGCGCGGCGGTTCTCTGCCCGCCGTGCGCCCCGAGGCGCGCGGCGG